ATACATTTATAATTGAAATTCACAAGAGGAGTTAATTGCTGGCCACTAAAATTTTTATTTTTATTTTGACTAAACTTTAGATGTCAAAATTTTTTGATAAGACAACACCATAAGAAGTTGCTTTTTTGTTTTTGCTAAAAGTGTAATCACATGTGCAGATAAACTAGCTTCAAAGACCTTTAATTTCTGGCATTTCAGCAAATTGATTTTTCATTCCTTTTGAAGGGATAATTAACCTCAGAAGTAGTGCTTAATTTTAAAAGAGAATAAGTGCTCAGCTTCATCAAAGTCAGGAAAGGAGCTAAAAAGAGAAAGAACCATGCCTTTGCTTTTCTAACTAACGTCAACTGAAGTTAAACATTATGAATGGTGGTGTTTACTTCAGTTTCCTGCTTACCTTTCATTCACTGTTTAAAGCAATCAAGTTTGTATTCACATTGAATTCCAGAAATATCTTTCTGTTACATGTTTAGTCCTGTGCAAAAGAGCAGTCTGCCAAAGTTCTGCAAGTTTCCACTAAAAGGAGAAACTGATACTGGAGCCAGGTAGTTCTTCACACCATCCTATAAAGTATGTAGGTAAAATCCTGTTTATTTTAGTTCAGAAGGACTCAGATGGCAGGAGTTGATATCTGGCTGTCATGACCAGGTAGTTTAGCTCAAGGGCTGGCTCACTACAGGAGACACAGAAGCCCTTATGAAAGAACAAGCAGAGATCAAGCCGGTGAGGAGTTGGAACATAGCTTGTGTTGGGGAGGTTGGGCAGAGCAAGGTTAGGAATGACAAGCAAGTAGTAGGCTGAAGGTAAAAGCTATGCTTGAAATAGCACCTATAACACACTTGGAATCACTGTGTCAAATATTAGCTATTTGTTCTATTGGCTTGTTTTTTCTGATTGAATAATTAATCATGTCTCCTCCTACTCTCCGGCAGCTGTGTAGACTGAAGAATCTATTGATAAGTCAGCAGGTGCTGACTATTGGAGAGTGACTTGACTTCCTCATAGATGAGTCTCTTTGGCACTTTTTTCAGAGTAATTGCAGTCATTTTCTTCCCAGTGGCCATCTGGGGTTTTGTTGTATTGTTTCCTCTTGTCTTTGTTCCTTTTATTTGTTTATCTTATGTTTTTAATCTCCATCCACAAAAGGGATGGAAATGATGGGTGGGATTTGTGGTTGGTGAAGACTGTCCAGCTGAAGAGCTCTTGCCTGTTTCCTGGAAGTATTGATTGGTATGCACTGAGGTCATGAATACAAGCTCCTACAAGTCACCTTTCACTCAGATAAATCTTTTCTTTCTTTGCACTTGTACCTGGCTCTTGTGCCATGGGCAATTTATGTTATAGGCTGGCTCCAAAAGACATCCAGGAACTGAACTAAGTTTTGATAACGTTCAGTTTTGATAACATAACTCCTTTTCTGTGAAGAACTTCTTCAACAGCATTAGAGGTAGATCACTCTCTGTAGCTGCAAGTGGCTCTTTTTCTGCCTTTCTTAGCAGTCTGCTTATTTGGACAGGGAACCTGAACTGTTACTCGAAGAGTATTTTGCTTTAAACGTTTCTGCATTGTTTGAGATGGGGCAATCTGTCCTCTCCTCTCTCTGACTCCACATCTAACAAGTAGAGTAAACATTCAACCTTGTCCAAGTCTCCTGGCTGGTCTACTTCCTTCATAGCTAACTTCCACTGTGATTTGTTTGTCAAGATGATGTCTCAGCTCTTTAATTCTTTTCTGATTATTTTCTCTTGAATTTCAAGTCGGTGTACTCTGTGTCAGTAGAACACTCTTGTAAGCTAGTGCACAATGCAAGTAAGTTGCCATGAATTCTCAATTCTTTACGCCTGAGTATGACTCCTGATTTCCTGCATGCCTTACAGATTTGTCTTACAGATTTAAGATCTGGTCTCATTGAAGCATTTAAAAATGGTTTGCTAAATAGCAGTTGACCATGTTCAACTAGCTTTTCAATGGGTTTTAATCCATTTTAACATGATCAGAAGCAGCTATATTTAGGATAAGAGTTTTTTCAGCTCAGCGATCCCAAAATTATGTGAATGGTATCTATGGAATAGTGTTTGTGTCTGTGTATATGTATGTATATATGTGTGTGTGTGGATGTATATATACTTATATAACAAAAATCTCCTGAAGAGCTAGTCTATCACTGACATTTTCCATTAGTAAATTACCACTTCTGTGTTCAAATGGTTAATCTAGTACTGTCTTGGAAGTGCTGGAGCTGTAGTGTATTTGCAGAGTATCTTCAGTGCACTTAAGCAGAACTGCTATATAAAGGACTATGAGACCTGTTTTTCTGTTACACGCATGGTTGGTCCAGCCCTGTCCCTGACCATCCAGTAAGCTCAGTATTTGTTGACTTAACAGATTTACATCTATGTGATGTAATTTCACTCAGTGTATTCCTAGCAAGGTTGTGATGGCTCATACTCCCCACTGAGACGCAAAGAATCTAGAATAGTTCAACCAGTCAAAAAGGCTGTTCATCACCAATGGAAGTGGGATTCTAGATTACTTCAACAAATTGCTAGCTGTAACCAGGAAAAACATAGTTCCTTATAAATACAGGTTTTATAAATATGACCAATTATTGTTATTTGATAACAATAATACTTCTTTGGGCACAGCTTGCTTGCCTCCTTCAACATTCATTGTTTTAATTCCTGCTCTTTCCTTCCCCCTGCACACCCCCCATGTAAAGTTCATTATTATCTTTTATCCTTAGTCTCCTGCTGACCAGTGTAAGAAAATCCATGCTGGTGATGAGGTGATCCAGGTTAACCATCAAACTGTGGTAAGTATTTTGGAAATTCTGCTCTGCAGACTTTGCCTATTCCCACTGCTAAAAAGGTAATAATTCTTCTTAGAAGATAACTTTGCCAAACTAGATTGTTATTTATGTATTTTAAAATATCATAACCACTGCTTATGCTTAATAAGAAAAGGCACAAGTTGTATCAGTAACCAGCCCAGAAGGATTAAGCCAAATTTACATTTTCCACAGCTGCTGATCAACATCATACTCTTTCTATAAGGAGATCCCAGAATATTTCATTGCAGTTCTTAGACTTCTCATTGTGGATACGCCAGCTAGTTTAACTTTTTCTCTTAAACAGAATTTTGCATTCTGTTTAATACAGGATTCAGATTAAAAACGCAGAAGTGCTGTAACAGCCATATATTCTGAATCTGTTGGGGGGAAAAAAATCGTAAAGACAATTAAAGTGTTGATAGAAACCTGTTGGATTTTACTTTTGTGCATTCTTGCACACAGATTTATTTTTAAACAGATGAGCCATTATATGAAGTTAGTGAAACTATTAATCTGTTTAAAATCACATAAGCATGTGTATGCACAAGTGTATGCTGAGCCTAAGGTATTGTAGTACATGATTTGTGTACATTTAAACATGCCTACCATTGCATTTCTTTCACAGCTGTATGTTGTATTGTGTAACTGTGTGTATATAAAACTACATTTTGTTTTATGTAGAAATGCAGGAATAATATGTTTCTGCAGCATTCATAGAATTGTATCCTGACTTAAAACACACTTGACTTCACTGAAGAATTAATAATTTTATTTTTTTAGATTAAATTATTTGTAATTGAGCTCTAAAAGCCTATCAGAGTGTCCATCTAAAAGCCTATCAGAGCCTCATCCAAGGTTGAATGATTATTTTTCTTCCTATTTTGTGAGGGCACAAGCTGCTGCCTTCTAACTGATGTTAGTTCCAGTGTTGATGGTTATTGAAAAAAATGCAGTCACATTTTGTCCCAGTACTATCTTAAGTTATAGGGACTGTCCCTTTTAGAAAAAATAAAATTGTATGTTGCAGAAGAATGGAAGAAGTGTTGCTGGAACTATAAGTGAAAGGAACACTTATATTTTTTTATTTATTAGGCATGAGTAGCATTGTGACAATGCTGATAACTTCCTAAAGTGCTTATAATTTAGCCATTTAACTTTGTCTTGCTGAACCCCATCTCCAAACACAGCAGCAGCAAAATTAAGAAATCTCTTTCTGTCTGTCATTTGTGTGAGGTGGGAAGATGAAAGTCTGACTATTAAAATCTTATGATTAGAGAACAAATATTTTCCCTTGAAAAGAAGTATAACTTATTAATTTATACTTTAAATGTTAATGCAACATGCAGCTCATCTATATTAGAGAGGTTCTATGAGTTGTCATAGTTACAAGTTGAAATATGCCTTAGACTGGCTTTCTCCGTCAAACATACTCTTCAAGGGACAAACCTGATTTAATCTTTACTCCCATAGGTGAAATCCCCTCATTCAACTACTCAAGAATTGGCTTTCTGGATAGCAATTCTTTCCACAAGAGGCCCAAGACTTGTAATCCCTTTCCAGCTAAGGGCACAGTACCAACAGCTGAGTCAAGTGGCATAAAATACCTTTTTAAAAAAAAAAAAAACACACTATTAATTATTCATTCTGAAGTTTATAACAAGCTAAGAAAAGAGATAAATGGCAAGCTGTTTCTTTCAGAAATTTATTCTTCCTTTGAAATGGCTGAGAAAGTCTCACTCTGTCTTCACTGTGACTTTGGAAAATCAGACAGTAATATTGAGTGTTTGCATGTTGGAGAGGTACATGTCCAACCCTCTTCCCCTCATGGATTGGAAGTTTTAATGTTTTAAGTCTCCCTTTGATCTTCAAGTGTGCCCTTTAAGTCAAGTCACTTCTGGTACATCTTGCTGCAAACTACACTTAACTGTGTTCCTTCTTCACCCAAGTTATCACAAGTTGTGATGATCAACATCATGTTTATAATTACCATTATTTAAATTTGTGGACTAGAATAATTCAAAGGCAACAGCTCATTAAATTTCCATGTAATCAATATTTTAATAGTGGCAAGACCAGCTCATAAAATGAGGTGTAGCCCATTTGAAACTAATGGCGGGGGGGGCGGGCGTGCAGTTGAGTAACCTCACAAAAGAAAGGCTTGCGTATCTGTGGTGGTCTTACAGGTTTTCTAGAGCTGTAAATTGTTGCTCACCAAGTAGAGGAGCATGGATTTTTGCCTGCAGAGAGTCCTTGCTAGAACCCAACACTTCCCCATACCAGCCGTTGATGGCACAGCTTAGCAAAAGCAGGTGCTGGTAGAAGTAAAATTGTAAAAGAGAAAAATACAAAGCAGCCTGAAATTATACCTGGCCAAAGTGTGCTTGTTCAGCTGCTTTGTACTTCTCGCTTCTTTTACAATGTGGTCCAGCTGTTTTTCTTGCCTGGTTGTTGGTAGTGCCATTTCTACCATTAGTTTGGTTTCTGGACTGGAGATTAAATGTTTATTTTCCTTGTTTTCCATCAAATGTCACATCTTCATTCCCTCTAAAGTAAAATTGCAGCAAAAGTTTGCATTGATTTATAGCCAGTTATGATGGCTTGCATTTTCCCTTTACCTTGTTCTGCTGCTGGAAGAAGTGGAGTGTTTCTTTATTTCTCTAATGTATCATTCTGTTCAGTTTATTTCATACGAAGCATTTAGCATTGCCCTGTGAAGAGGCAAGTTATTACATTTAGTATCCTAAATACTTCCTGGGTTGTTACAGAATTTTCAAGATAGATAGTTAAAATACTATTTACAATGTAAGTATTTGGTGAAATCCATGGTCTCCAGTCTCATGTTAGTTTTCCATAGAGACTCTACTTAAAGCATTAAAAGCTTAGGTGATAAAAATATTGGTGTTAGTGTTATTTCTGCTTTAACCTGTTCATTGGTAAGGGAGGCTTCATGCTTTCATAAAATGTATACACATTAAATATACTTTCTTCAAATATTTGTATGCTTCAGAGATTCTGCATCCCACAGATTTTATCTTTGTTAGGTCAACAAAGATATTTTCTTAAGATTGACGTTTCTGTAGCATTTTGGTAGTCTATCAAATATAAATCCCATTCAACACAATGTGTTTTGAAAGAAGTCTGTTCTGAAGATGATTAGATACAGTCATTTTGTATTGCCACTAGTGAAAATACTTTCCTGATTAGAGAAAGTATGGATCTTTCTTAGTAGATTCCAATCCTGTAACTGACTACTAGCATCATTTAATCTGATTTTGACTGAACTAGGCCAATGTATTTTCTAGATAAACTCATATTCACTCATTTCATCAGATCATTTGAGTTTTAAAACTTTCATTGATGTTCCCACAACCTGTAACAAATTGTTCTGGTAGTTAATTATTCTCATTGCTGGGAAAAAAGAAGTCATTTTATTTGTGGTCTATGTTTGTCTGGCACAAGCTTCCAGTCCTTTGATCATGATATATTTTTATCTATTAGATTGGAGAGCAGGTTTCTCATTGAGGTATTTTCAGGATGCAACCAAATTACCTCTTCACTTTTTTTTGGTAAGCTAGATAATTTGAGCACTTCCAGTTTGTCATCCTAAGGCATGACCCTCCTCAACAACCTCTTTAAATTCCCAACTGTAATACTTTGCGTATTTAACATTGAGTTACAGAGCTGTACAGTGAAAGCATTCATTCATGGGTAGGGCAGCACTCCCGTGCTAAAATAGTACAAATGAGACTACATTAACATAGCCATTACCAACTAGCTGCTTACTCTCTTTAAAAGGCTCATGTTCACTTTTTCATTCATACATAGGCAAAAATGAAACTAAGAGGACACTTTCATTTGATTTTTTCCTTTAAGAACAAAAACTGTAATTTCAATTTAAGTTTGACTCTTTCCATCAGGAAGTCCATTTTAAGAGAAGAATCATTATCTGTTTTGAAACTGTGAGAGGGATAAGCTTTTAAACAGGTTTAAGAAGACGTAGACTCGGAAAGAATTGTACTGTCCCCACATTTGAGTGGAGTCAGCACAGATAACAGCATTTCTCATCCTGGAGGCATTTCTCTGGTGTTGTATAGCTATAGCAGAGGATTAAGTATGCTGACAATGTCAGTCCCATTGAATTGCTGGATGTGTGGCGTTAAGCATTTTGGGATTGATGTGACTAGAATATTTTGGCTGTATGTTTTCAAAATTATTCTTATTACCTATGATTACTACACTCATTTTATATAAAGCATTATCTGTATTAAGCAAGAAATACCAGATAGCTAGGATGTAGCTATATTCATACTCTTTTTTTTCCCTGAAACCAGTTATATTAACAAATATCTTAAAAATATTAACAAAACAAGACCACTTGTTTTACTTTACTTTTCAAATAACTTTTCATCGTAGTTGAGAATTAAAAAAAAAAAAAAAAAGAGTTCAGAAAGTATCAAAGGAAAGCAGCTTACAAATTATATAATGCAACAATTGAAAGAGTTAGAAATAAAAGACTTACTACGTGGAATCTGGTCTAACCAAGGAACACTGTAATACAATTATAAAGATCAAAGAAAAAATAATACTTTAGGCAAGAAATTAATTAAATCAGGCAATTCACCACTAGCTGTTAAGATCATTTAATCATTATCCAGTTTCCTTATTTGCTTTTCTGCTTGTCCTTCTTGCTTATTAGATTTTAATAAAACAGCATAAGAAACTTTAAAAATAAGCTATACATTCTAAATTACTGCCACACTAACTCTTTATTTTTCCCTAGAGTAACAACAGGCACTAGTTCTGCCAGTGCCTTGTAGATTTTTACTTCCTCTCTTATAAAATTATATAGAAGTGCTGAATATGCCACTGTACATTTATTTGCTTGCAAAATTAATAACTACACGTTATGTTCTGTGGATAATTTATTTTCTGCTGCTTAGTTGAAATAGGATAATATTGAACATAGAACAAAGAGAAGAAAA